CAAGCAGGGGGGTTTGGGTTCCTTTTGCTGCCACAGTCTAGTTTTTAGTGCTCCACAGCAGGCAAAAGCAGCCCAGGGCTGGCCCCGCTGCCTCCCATTAGCTCTGGCAGACCTCCCCTTCACACACAGCTGTTTGCCCCAGTCCTGGAGACTCCCCCCATGGGGATGGCTGTTCTCATCCCTTCTCCGTTTCAGTGTGTTTTGCCCTAAATTATTGCAGTTTGAATCAGCGCCTGAGGGGTGGTCAGGGTTGAGAGCAGAGGGGGTGGGGAGGGGGAACATAACCAGGGAAGCCATCACAGTGCTGGGTAAGCTGGGCTGTGCATCACTGCCTCCAAGTGCTTATAGGGCCTTTTAATTCTTGAAAAACTGATGGAAACTTGCTTTAAACAAGAAAGCAGAGGATGCTCAGGCTCTACCCAGGATAGTGGCAAGGACGAGCTGCACAAGCCCATTGTGGAAGGGAGATCTGAGGCTGGGCTGCTCCCACTCTGCCTGCAGGCACTGGTGAGGGGATAGTTTTGGATCCAACATCCTCCCGGATGCCCTGAAACTCAGTTTTTGTAAAGAGGGCTGCAAAGACCCCGCACCCATCCACAAAACAGTCTCCAGACTGTGCTGGCAAAAATCCTGGGACAGTGATATGATGGGTACTGAGCGTGCCTGCACAGGTGGAGCATTTACCAATACTGTCTCCAGGTTTAATCCTAGATGCAAAGTCCGTATACAGCCAGCCTCGGGGTCACAGCTGATGCTTGTGGGCCTCTACGGCTGTATCTGGGGGCATGGCTGCCCTCTAAGAATGGCAGCTGAGGGAATTCAGGCTGCCAGCCCAGATCCTGCTTGCCCATACTGCGGCATAAATTAAAAATAAGCCCTTGCTTTGAGCTGATTTTCTCACGATTCCTCTGGATGTCATTTGGATTCGAATCCATCCGCCTTTGGGAAGCTGGAAGCTTGCAAATCTCAACTTTTGAATGTTTGCAATTATGATGGTAATGGTAAAGGGACATATGCTTCTGTGTTCTCTATAAGCTGTTATGAGGCACAGTTGTTCTTTTACAGCCGTTTTACAGCCAGACCATCAAGCACAGGCAGGGGAATAAAACCCTTGTGCACATTGGGCTGGAAATAGGTTGGATGGGAACTGCTCTGGGCTCAGCCACCACATCCCTGTGCCTCCCCTAGTGCATTCAACTTCCCCCTGCTTTAGTTTTCTGACACCAGTAGCCCAAGATCTCCTTTGGGTTCTCCAATCTGTTGAGCCCATGACAATACGTGGAGGGGAACAGTATGTTAGCCCATGTTAGCCCAGCACTTGACTCCAGAGATTCCTTATCCCAGTCCTAGACAATGGGTCCGAGAAAATTCAGAACTTCCCAGCGGGATGCTGATGGCCAAAGAAATTTCCCTGACAAATGCAAGGAGAGACTCTTCCGCAGCTCTAGCCGTGGCTGGAACATAACCAGCTTCAGTAGCTGAAGTTTCAGAGGGGAACAGGTTTCTCTGGTGTATCCTGGAGGATGGTGGGAGGTGCAGGGGATACCAGCACCCCATATACCCCCAGGGACAGTGGAAGAAGGTCTGCCTCTCCTTTGTCAGGCAGGGGACAGCATCACAGTGCGTGCTGAAAGCTTTTCCTGACAGCCTTCTTTCGCTTTCAGCTCTTCCCGGCTGATGTCGGGTGTTAGCTGCTGATTTACAAGCAGCAAAACCCACTGTGGCAGCACTCCTCAGCATACGAGCAGGAGGTGCCAGGGCCCTTCTGTCCCAGCACAGCCCTTCTGTGTGGAGCATCCACCCCACAGCAGCATCCTTTCCTCTGTTCACCCCTCAGCTCAGGGACCAGCTCATGAAAATATGTCATGGTAAAAATCACTTTTTGGGGAAAATGTCTCTGGTTCCCTAGGAAGGACTCTCTGGGTAGCTTTGGGATTCCAAACACCCTCTGCTGGCTTTCCTCAGAAGCTGACTGCACCCCAAAATCTCTCACATTCAGGGAGGCTCCCATGGCTTTGCTTCACATTGCTGATGGCTCCCTCCTCCTCCTCAGGCAAGAGCCTGGCAGCTCTGCCAGGCTTGCACCCCCATGATCAGCAGGGATCTGGGTCTGTCGGGCTCTCTGGCTGTGACAGAGAAGATCTTCTCCAGATCACCGTGCCCTGCCAGAAACAATCTGTTTACAGTGTCAGCGCTCGGTGTATCCCTCCCCACTCGGTGTTGAACCGCCCGTATCCTATTTCTGCAAGCACAGAGACACCCTTCTCTAATCCGGGTGGCCTTGTCACTACAGGGAATATTTCCGTGACATCCTCCAGGGCTGGTGGGCAAAGCCTAACGAAGCTCTTCTCCCAAATTGCCGCTCCTAGAAGTGCCCGCGGATGTTGCAAGCACGTCCTTCGCTTTTTCTCCGGAGGTCCCTGCTGACCTGAATTTTCCTGCGGGTCCTGCCGCTGATCCCCAGGGACGCGAGAGTGTAGGTGCCGGGCTATAGGATTTCCCTCGCACAGCCCCCTCCCTTTGGGGATGCAGCTAGTGGCTGGGTCACTTATTTGACAAAGATGAGCTGACGGCTCAGCAGAGCTGCAGGCTGCAGCCCCTGGTGCCAGCACTGCACGGAGCCAGCCCCTGCCGGCCCTGCGCGCCGGGGACGTGCCGGGAGGGTGCTCCTCCGCACCATGCCCTTGGGTTTGGTTTCCTTCTGGGTTGGTGAACGCAGCTAACGCCTGCGAGCGCTCTTCCTCTCTCCTTCTCGCTCTCAGAGACCCTTTAAATCGGCTGCTTCACACTCAGTAAGCATTCCCCCCCCCCTTAAAACCGTACCGTTTCTCCCAGGTCACGCCAGGCAATCACTTCCCAGCAAACTCACCGATTTTGGCCAGTTTTTCGCTCTGCTTGTTAACAGCCTGTTAAACCCTCGGAGCCCCCGGGGCGGCTCTGCTCGCACACACGTCGGGAGCAATCACCCGGTGCCTGGGAAACGATTGCTGGCATTACCTGGGCAGCAGCAAACTTTGCTTGCGCAGCTTCTCTCAAGGCCGATGCTGATGTTGGCTATTAGTGCTAACGACCCCCATGTCTGCAACTTCCAGGCGATGGGGCCTTTCATCAGGGAGCCCCTCCGAGATCCAGGGAAAGTGTGGCTTTTGGAGGAGCGCAGTTTTCTTCCGCCTCACTGGCTTCTTATCTCTTTCAGGAAGCTCTGGAGGCTACGAGCTACCTTACCTAATGGATCTCTATTAGATTGCGGCACTGGGGGCTGATCGGACATGCCCCGGGCTCCAGCTGCTCTCCCCATCCATGTTTTCAATGTCTTTGACTTTTGCCAGCCTCCAGATGGGAAGCGGCTGGGGGTCTGTAGGACTCAGGCTTGATGACTGGGGAAGGGATATTTTATCCCCTAAATCCGTCTCCGAGCAAAGCACAGCAGTGTTCCAACAGTGCTGTGGGGGGAAGCTGTTTGTGCAAAGCTCCCGCCCGAAACATTGCACTGCCATGATGCACAGGCAGGATGATATCGGAGTGTTTCATCCCGTGACTCTCAGCCTGCCACTTGTGGTGTGGCAGGTAAAGCATGGGTCCTGGGGACAGGCTGGTCTGTGGGGCTTCAGTGTTGTCCTGGAGGTACCTGTCAGTCGGAGCTGAGCCTCCCTGACCTGTTTAATCCCACCTCCATCATTACAATGTCTTTTTGTATCACTTCTTGCCTGGGGTCTGGGATCTCCTGTGCTGGCACTGTGCAGCACAAAGGCAGCCCCTTCTTCAGGTTAGAGCTCCAACAGGGCAAGAAAGGACAAGGCAGTATTCAGCTTCTCTCTCATTAAGCATGGAGGGAATTATATGCCCAAGAAGGCAGTGGTGATGCTGGATTTGCTGCCCTTCCCTGGTGCAAGATTCAGGACTGTCCAGAGACAACGAGGCTGCAGCCACAGCTCCCATGTGTCACATTGCCCCTTGCCCCAGCCACCCTTGTTCAGGCTGTACAACATGTTAGTGCTGGGCAAGGGGCCCGAAGGCACCTCAGTTTCCCCCACTGTGCTCCTGCTGGAATGGTCCCAGAGCAGGAAAAGCAAATCCTGCCCTTCCGGGGAGGGGAGCTCGGGCAGTGAGGATGAATACCACCTTTATGTGTGGCCTCCGCCAGAGACCAGAGTGGTGGCTGCACATCACCCAGAGAGGTCTGGACTTTGAAGCCCAAACACGGGGCCGGCTAGTGGCTGGCTAAAAATCGTCGCAGCTCTCGGGAGGATGAGTTCCTAAGAGTGCCCCAGTAGCCCCCCACATCGCTCATCCGGCAGCCCCCAGTGCACAACTCCCCTTGGGAGATGCTCTGATGTTCACAAGGGACTGGGACTGTTGCTTTCCCCCCCTTCCCTGCGTGTCCCCTAGCTGTGGGGCTGCAGGAGAGCACCCCACCACCCCGGGGGCTCTGTCACCCCAGCATACACCCCTCCTGCACCCCGAAGTGCCAGCCTGCGGCCTCGCAGCCCCCGCCCAGGCGAGTGGGGATCCCGCGGCAGAGGTGGGGCGTGCTCGGGGGCAGATGGGCAGCGTGGGACGGGTGCCACGCGTGCCCGGCCACCCGCGGCGGCTGCCCGACGGGGAGGGCGGGTGTCCTGCCGCCCCGCGGCGGCGGGGAGCCTGGCAGAGGACTCAGTGAAGGACCTTCTCCGGTTTCCTCGGGAGGCTGTCAGGCGGCGGGGGAGCCGAGCCCCCCGCGCCTCGCTGGCCGCGCCGGCTCCCTCCCTCTCTCCCCCGCACTCCTCCTCCTCCTCCTTCTCCTCCTCCTCCTGCTCCTCCCGCCCTGGTGCGAAGGGCTTTCGCTGCTTCTCTCTTCCCTCTCCTTCCTGTCTCCTCGGCGGACCGCGGTGCCGGGAAGCGCGGGCAGAGGCGCGGGGATGGAGCGGCCGCCGGCTCCCGGCCCGCCCGCCCGCTCCCGCCGCCCGCCGCCGCGTCCCCTCCCCGGCCGGCGGGAGGCGGCGGCTCTCCCATGCCGCCCGCCTCGCCCCTTGCTCTGAATTTCTGCCCGTCGGCCGATCTGGGGAGAGACGGGGAGGGGGTACGTCCCCTCGCACTTTCCTCCCCCTCCACTTCTTTTTTTCCACCCTTTTTTGCCTTCCCTCCATTACGCCCCCCCTCTTCCCCAGCCCGCTTCTCCTCCACCGGGACTGTTCGGCGGCCATGCGGCCGGTCCTGGGCGAGCGACTCTAACTCGCCACCTCGCCCGGATGGCCCCCCGGAGCCGCGGGCGGATGGAGCCGAGCTACGTCGTGGGTATCTGCTGCCTGGTGCTGCTGGAGCCGGGCCGGGTGTGGAGCGGCGAGCCCAGCACCGGGGGGCCCGGGGAGAGCGGGAACAGCAGCCAGGCACCGCCGCCGGAGACCACGGCCCCCGCGCCCACCGGAGCGGCACCACCGGGGGGGGACCGCTGCCGTGGGTACTACGACGTGATGGGGCAGTGGGACCCACCGTTCAACTGCAACGCCGGCATCTACCAGTACTGCTGTGGGACCTGCGGGTACCGCTTCTGCTGTCAGTTCAAGCCCAGGCGGCTGGACCAGAGTGGCTGCTCCAACTACGACACCCCCAACTGGGTCAACACGGGCCAGCCACCTGCCCGGGTGGACGAGACCCCCGAGGACCCCACTCGTGACAAGACCAACATGATCGTCTACATCATCTGTGGCGTGGTGGCCATCATGGTGCTGGTGGGCATCTTCACCAAGCTGGGCCTGGAGAAGGCACAGGGTCCCCAGACAGAGATGACCGTCTCCAGGTAAAGGGGTTCAATACCCCCACCCGCCCCACTCGGTTTCCCCATGGGTGCCAGCTCATGTTCCCAGCCCACTGCGTAGGATGAGCCCTGGCTTCACCTTAGGACTGCCAAGACAGTGAGGTGATCCCCAAACCCCCTGTCCCGGCATGCTGAGACACCAGGGGGTGGGTTGACTGCAGCTCCCCAACCTGTCCTGGCAGGGGGGGCTGCCAGCCAGGACAGCCTCCACAAGTAGGGGTGGTCGTACACCCATCCCCTCCCAAAATGATCTGCTCCATCTCTTGTGGAGGCATGTCCCTGACTCAGGAGTGCCAACCCACCAGCCAGTGGGGTGGGTGACATGAGAACTACAGGATGCGGCTTTCCCCCCCAAAGCAAATCTGTGGTTTCCAATGTCCATGGAAGGTGAGACTGTGGTCTGACTATGTTTGGGGTGACTCTGGACTGCAGTCCCCTTGGTCTCAGCCTTGCTGGCAGTGCAGGGGGAGAGGAGGTGGCAAAGACAGCTCCTCTGTGGCTGCTGCGCCAGCTTGTGTGTGTATGCATGGGTGTGCCCTGCTGTCTGCTTCTGTGCACCAGAGTGGGACATCACCCTTGTGGGGGGGAGTCCACACTCCTTGGAGCTCACTCTCCAGCAGAAAGTTGGGCAGTCTCTTCCTGGACCCCATATCGTGTGGCTCCAGCCCCTGGTTTTTCAGCCCACTCCTGGAGCTGAGCACAGGACTGGCAGGGGGAAGGTCAAGGTGTCAGGCACATCAGGCACATTTTGGCATTGGGGACCCCCTGTGTTTCTCCCAACTCCTGTCCTGCTGCTGTGGCCGTCGGTACATCTTCCTCTCTTCCTACTTGATACACGCTTCTCTCCCCGTTTTGGGGCTCTACTTTGCACCTTCCCAGTGAGGACATTGAGTCTGGAGAGAAACCCATTTTCATGCCATTTTGTTAAGGGATTTTAGCTTTTAAAAAAAGAAAAAGCGGGGCTGGAGGAAATGATGATCACTGGGATCATTAGGGAGCCACCCTGATTGCAACCCCCAGCATGGACACTCTCTCTCCTTCCCCTGGAGCACCCTTTTTTCCCCTGCCTGTTTAGGACTTGGGCAGCCACCGGGTGCTGCACCCCACATCCGAACCCACTGCACTCTATCCCCAGATCCACCCTACTTCTTCTGCCCACCCAGGGGAGCAGAGGCTGGCTACCCTTGCTTGGAGGAGGGTCATATTGAGGAATGGAGGAGGGTCACAGGACCCTCCTGAGACATGTGAGGCAGTTTTGGGGGGATCCGTGCTGTGCCCCCTCCTTGGCAGGGAGCCTGGCTGTGTGCTGCTGCGTGCCCGCGCCTCCCCCCGCGTTGCCTGAGGAAGCGCTGGCACCTTGACAGGATCAATACGGCCTCCGCCAGCCTCCTGACTCCCCTTCCACTCGCCTGCCTCCGCGTCTTTTTTTGGTCGTTCCCCCCCCACCTCCTGGGAATGAGATACTGTGCTTAGGGAGGGGTCAGACCCTGGGACACCCAGACCCGAGTCCTCATCCCCTGCCATGGGGTCTTGCCTTCTCCCATCACCAGACACACTGGTGGAACTGCTGCCACTCACTGTGGGCTGTTTTTCTGTGTGTAGCCTCAATTCTGTGCTGTCAGAGCACAGAATCTCCTTCTTGCTCATACAAGCCTGAATTTTCCCGATAGGTGCCTATTTTCCCTGAAGCTGCAGATCTTTTGGGCACTAGCATATAGATTGGGAGAAGGCGAGTTTTCCTCACGCACCATTGTGGGACAAAATCAGAAGGGCACATTCATTACCAGAGTCAGGAGAGGTCTTGCCATCTTCCATGAAGGCGAGTTTTTCTCATGCACCTTTGTGGGACAAAATCAGAAGGGCACCTTCATCACCGGAGTCAGGAGAGGTCTTGCCATCTTCCATGACCTGTGTCCTTCTGTGTAAGCCATAAGCGCCTTCGGTTCCACAGGGTTGGTGACTGGCAAGCCCTGGCAGGGCAGGAGTGGTGCATCAGGTGCAGAGCCCCAGGAACCAGGCAAGGCACCAGGCTGACATGACCTCCCTGGTGCTGGGCTGATGGAGACAGTGCCAGAGGCGGGGTACATGGCATAGGCATCCAAAAAAGGGACGCTGTCACCTCCATTCCATTGTGAGCCTGGGGATCTGGCACAATACATTTTGTCTTGGTGCCTCTGAGAGAGCAGGGCTATTTCTACCTGCCTTGTCCCTGTACCCACACATGGCCCAAGGGGTGGGCAGTACCACCACGCCTCTCTCCCGGCGCCTCAGGTAGGAGCTTCTCATTTGCTCCTTGGGCACCGCATCATGGCCTTGGGCCAGGTCCCTGTTGCACAGTCGTCTTGGTTTCCATTCCTATCCCTCCCTCCCACCAGGGTTTTTTCCGCTCCTGGGGAGCACTGAGTGCTGCCCTGGGTGGCTCCCACCCCTGCTGGCTCCCACCCCAAGGTTTCTCTCTTGGGGGGAAAGGTCAACTACTTCTGCATCTCCAGATGTTGTTTGTCATGGTTCTGGTCCTGGTCCAAATCCAGGAAGAGTGACCAGGTGCAGGAAGTCCACTAGCTCCTCCCTCATGGATACACCTGAGTCTGTATCTAGCTTGTCCTGAGACCCTCACGCCTTGGCCACCTCCAACATCTCACAGATTTGGGTACTGGTCTACCCAGGGAAGTGGGTGCTCTAGTGACTGCAGCTACCTGATTTGTCCTCCCCTCCTCATCCGCCTTCCTCCTGCAGGGCCTTATGGCAGCTCCTGCACTCCCCTCTCCTTCCTGCTCAGCTCACGTTTGGCATCCATCCCCAGCACTCGCTTAGCCTGGCCAAACCCTGTGTTGAGTCAAGAACACCTGCCTGTGTTTTTCTTCAGTCCCCGGATCTCCGGGGACGTTGGGTCCTTGGGGGCTGCAAGGATTTGTTTGTGCCCATTGCACAAGAGCAGGCACGTGCCCCAGACCTCTCCCAAAAACCTCCTGGGAGGGGATTGCAAGATTATAGCTGGGGCGGACATCCCTACGGCAAGAGTTGGGCAAAGAGTAGGCCCCTGGGGAGTAGTGAGGATTCTGGAGAGGGGCAAAACAGCCATCAGGAGCAGGTGCCCTGACAGCTGCAGTAGGTGAGTGTGCAGTGCTGGCTTTTCGCTCTTTAGGTCTCCCCATGCTATTTGGGGTTCCCCAAACTTGGCCCCACTGTACATCCAACTGCACTGGGTATTTCTCTGACAATGCTCAAGTCCATGGCCATGCCTGCAGTCAATCAGTCAATGCCAATGGTAGCATGTGGTGGCGAAGACCTACAAAAAGTGTTTGCAGGCGGTATGGTGTGCTGCCCTGGCTCTTTGAGGGATGAGAGGGGATCCAGCTCAGCAGGGAGGAAGACCTGGAGCCCTGTTCCTAGACTGAACTCTAGGGAGGCTCACTTCCACCACTCAATTCTTTGCCCAAGCTCCATTACTCCACGCTGCAACTCCAGTTTTGCAAAGACACCTTGCTACACCCTACGCCTTCCTGAGCATCCCTAAGAGTCCCAGCCCTACTGCGCAGGTGTCCCACGGTGTCCATTCTGCTCAGTTGCATAGATGGGCACCTCTTGCCCTGAGCAGACACACCATAAGCCGTGGGAAATGTCCCCACCTCAGGAGGTGAGGATTACGCTCTCACTGGGCATGGAGGTGGTGTGGCCGGCCGGGATGCCAGCCCAGCTGCAGCTGTGATGTGCTGTGTGTCTCCTGCAATGCTGCACCTCTGCTCCAAACCTCATCACCCTGCTCGTCCAGTGGCTGCCACCTTCTGTGTCCCTTCCAGGGGTTCACTCCAGCTCAGGGCAACATCACTTCATCCATCACTCCATCATCTGTCTTCTCTTCTGCAGGCTGCGCTCGTCTCCTCACTTCACTCCCTGTCCCCTTGCAGGGACTTGCAGCCTCTCTCCTGTTGGGCTTGCCACATGTGGGGCTTGGGCCTCCCAAAAGTGGGTCAGCCCCCGGACTGAGGTGTTCTGCCAGATCCTGGGTCCTGCTCCCACACGGGAACCTCCCCTGAGGATGGCTCAGGAGCACTGAATGCTGCATGCGTGGCTCCTGCCGTGGAGCTGTCTTGGCCTCCATCTTCACTGCTCCTGGCTCTGCCTCTGTGCATGGTCTCAGGGCTCGCACCAAGATGGTTTGGGGCATCTTTGTTGTACCCATTGGCAGAACTAGGCTTGCCATGGAGGTGGCTGCATGCATGCCCACCAAGTTGACGCTGTGCTCAGGCAAGCTGGGTGGCCGGCGACCCTCACACATGGCCTCACGTACTCCACATCTGTGGCTATGGTGGTGGATGGAGGCCTCAGTGGTGCTGTTCATTTGTGCTTTTTGCAGACAAGCAGTGTAGGTCTAAAGCCACATCTGCTCTCCGTTCCCTTCCTCCACCTGCACCCCAGAGCCATTTTGGTGCCACAGACCACCAGGTGACCTAGGGAGATGTGGCCTAAGCTTCCCCAAGCCCTCCAGCCACAGGACCAGACTGAGGCTCATAAAACTCCCAAAACCCTGTTTGGTGAGACAGCAGCTCCTCAGGATGGTGTCACCCTCTGTGTCCACCTCCCCTGCACTGCACCACCTGGGGATGAGCCAGGGAGGGCGTGCAGCCCCAGAGAGACCTACTGGCACCCATAGCCTATGGCACCACTTCTGGTGCAAGGGCAGGGTGAATCCGGGTGTTGCTGGTGCTGAGGGCTCATGAGCGTTTCTCACCATGGCAGAGTAGCTCATTAAGAGCTGCTCGTGCTGTTGTTAATCGTTATTATCTGCACGCCCTGGGTGGTCAGCACAGAGGGCAGGTTTATGAGAAAGAGCATTGATGGATTTATCTGGAGAGGAAGTCAGAGATAAAGGATTGCTCAAGCTTCATAAATAGACCCGAGGAAAAGAAAAAATAATTTAAAAAATAGGTCAAATCGCATTGAACTTCCCATTGAAACAATCCTGTTTGAGCGCTGGCCCTGGGGACAGGCAAGAGCAGGCAGCATCCAGTGGGGAGGGGGCCAGCGTGCAGTGCACCCCGGGGAAGGTGGGAGCTGACAGGGCAGCAGCTCCCTGTGTTGACAGCCTACACCCATGGCCTTGGGGGACCTGCCTCCCCCCTGCCCTGCCTGGGCATAGCCCACTGCCCACCCATGCATGTGCCCAGAGTTTCTTTGGGCCTGGCCTGGACCCTAGTTGAGTCAGTCCCCTGCAGGAGGGGACCTGGGGAGGTGCAGGATTTGAATAGCTGCAGGATGGAGGTGGCAGAGCCTCCTCAGGCAGCCTGGTCAAGCGCTTAACTACTGTCGCAGGAAAAAAGGTTGTTTCTTCTGTTTAAACAGGATTTTCTGTGTTTCTTTTGCCCCTGTCATCTCTTGTCAGCCTGGCACTGTCCTTGTTGCACCCTCCCTTCAAATACTCACCTACATTGATAAGATCCCCCAGAGCCTTCTCTTCTCTGGGCTGAACAGTCCCAGCTCTCTCAGCCTCTCCTCATATAAAAGATGCTCCAATCCCATCTTTGTGGCCCTTCCCTGGACTCTCTCCCTTATGTCCATGTCTAGCTTGTACTTAGGAGCCCAGAGCTGGAGCCAGCACTTCAGGTGTGGCCTCACCAGTGCTGTGCAGAGGATCACCCTCCTCAGACCTACTGGCAACACTTTGCCAAATGCAGCCCAGGACACCATGCAGCGCCTTTGTCCCAAAAACACACTGCTGGCTCATAGTCAACTTGGTGTCCACCAGGATCCCCAAGTCCTTTTCCACCAAGCTGCCTTCCAGCTGTCAGCTGCCAGGGTTTGTTCCTCCCTCATTTCAATTTGTTCTGCTCCATGACTGTCCTCTTGGCCCATTTGGAGATGAAGTGATCCCAGAGGGGTTGCTACCCCAAGCTTCCCAAGAACGATGTGAAATTAACCCAAAGGGCAAGTGACCTTCCCTTGTAGCTTTGCTCTTGCCATCGCCCTGTGATACTGACTGGAGCCAAACTGAGAGGGAAAATGAGGGGCCCCACAAGCATACACACCCCTGGGCACAACACATTGATTTCCCTCTTGTTCTAACTGCCTTTCCTGGAAATTCCCTGTACCACATTCTCTAGGTTTTTGAGCACTCTGGTGCCATGAGCTGACACATCTACCAAGTCAGGATTATTCCCCGCTTCCTCTCCCATTTGCACTTATGCATGTTGAGTTTAATCTGCTGTTTTATCATCCAACCACTTGCTAACCGTCAGCTCCTGCCACAGCTCCCAGTGTGCGTCTATGAGCCAGCCAGAGCCTTCGAGGCGTGAGGCACGCTGACAGTGAGCTGGGGATTAGGGAGCCAAAAAAAGCCCCAAGTGGACACCCCTGCACTCTTGCAGTCACCCAGGGATGGTCAAGGCAGGGGCAATGACATGTCTTCTCATACAAAGTCCCACACCAGCAGGAGCATCCCAACCTGTCCTGAGACTTGCTGCCAAAGGCTGCAGTGGCAGGTGGGTATGCCCTGCTACGGCACTGCTGCTGTGCTCCCTCTATCACTGCTGGTGTATTTTTCTCTGGCATCACTGGTGTGCCCCACTCTGGCACCACTGCTGTACCCCACTCTGGCATGGCCAGCATGCCTTGCTCTCACATTGCCAGCACACTGTGGTGGGACTGCAGCATCTCCGTCCATGAATGTTAAACGAAATAGGGCTCTATCTTATGTAATGGTGTTTAATGTTTAATGCTGTTACTTACAAGGAGGGTGTTATGCACAGACGGTGCCTGCGCCAGAGGCTGCCGCTAGTTCATCCCCTTCCCCGAAAGGGTGCAAGTGGCCTCTCTAATCCCTTCCTCAGGGTCTTCTATGTTTCAAAGGGACTTGAGTGGAGGTGTTGCTTCCTCTCCCCACGCATACCAGGCTCTCACTCCAGAGGAGCATCCCCAAAGTGTTGCTCCAGCTGCCAACAGATCAGGTTCCTCTGTCTCAGTGCATCAGACCCTTGAACCCCGCTCCAAGCCGTGCATCTCCCTCACCACCCTCACCCACTGACAACCCTGGCTCTGGGAGGGCTCAGCCCCAGTCTGATCCCAATTAACTGTTCAGGTGGGGCTCACTAGCCCACCCGAAAAAGCTGGGTTAGGACCCTGGGTGCATCCTGGCTCCCGGCAGCCATTTCCTAGCCCCAGGCTGCCCGGCTCTGCCTCCAAAGAGCACGATTCAGGGCCGGGATGCATTAGGGAACCCAGGGGAACAGGGTATTGCTCTAACAGCCCTTTCATCCCTTTCCCAGGACACTGACAGATCTGCTGAAGCAGCCAGGCCAGAGCCCCTCTGAGAACATGGACAGCCTCATGGGGGGTGTGCAGGTCCCACTGGGCGAGGGGCTGGCCCGGGGCCCCCCCAGAAACAGCACAGGTAAGGTGCTAGTGTGGTGGGGAAAAATAAGTTCCCTTGGGTGGATAAAGGCAGCAGGAGGGTACAGCCTGTGGCTGAGCCCCCACCTGCCTCTGCCCCTCCAGACAAGCCGCCCTTGAACAATGCGGTGGCCATTGCTCCCTCACTGGGGCGGCCCCACAGCCACAGCAAGCGCCTGCCGCTGGCCAGCAGCCTGGCCCTGTCAGCCTCAGACTACACTTCCTACACCACCCTCAAGGTTGGAGGTGAGTGCTGCTGTCGCGTGGGGTGGGATGGTGGCAGGGGGACCCAGCAAGACGAGTGGGGAGGGGCATGGGGCTCATAGGGGAGCATGGACAGGACAAGCCTCCCAGTTTCCCAGGGCTCCCGGGGTGGCTGCTCATAGCAGAAACTCTGTGGCTCCTCCACTGTTCCACCAACCTGCTGTGCTGCCCAGTCGGTCAGTGTCTAGGGTCTCCCATGGATCCAGTGCACTTCCCAGCCACCCAGGATCCCACATAGACCTGAAGCACTGCCCACCCCATCAGACCTCAGGATCCACATGGACACACCGCACTCCCCAGCCAGTTCATTGCTGAGATTCCCCTCCAGTCCCCAGCCCATCAGTACCCAGGATACCTCCCACAGCCCCATCCCAGCCTTCCCAACCAGTGTACCCTCCCTGGTCCCCCCAAACCAGCAGAAGTGGGTGTCCCTGCAGGGGTGACACCCCACCCCTGTCCCCACAGAGAGCGCCTCCGAGGACTTCTGCAGGCGATTCGGGGGGTTGGAGACACCCCCCGCCAGCACACTGCCCTTCCCACCCACCGAGACACCAGTGCTGCCCAAGGGCTGCCCCCTGCCCAAGGCCAAGGGCCCCAAGCTGCCAGGGAGCCTGGTCTTCCCAGGGGGCTGGGAGGGGGCCCCCCATCGTGGCCCCCACCGGCCAGGCCTGGCCACCCTGCGCCCCGAGGGGCCACCTGAGGCCTTCGGCCCCTCCACGCCACTGTACAGCCAGCACCCCCGGCACCTCGCCACCAACAGCAAGACTGAGGTCACCGTCTGACGACCAGCACTGCCAGGGGCTGGGGCTGCCCCCTCACCTGGGTGTTGCTGCCCTCGGGGGCAGCCCACTAGAGCAAAGCATCGTAGGACCTACGTAAACTGCGACGCTGGCCAGAAGGGGAGATGCGCCGTCCTTCCTCCCCTCCAGGGATGGCGACTGCTGGCTGCACTTCACCATCGAGGAGGCATTGGGGTCTCATCCAGGCAACAAGTTTCAGCCATTCTCAGCCCGCCCCATGAAGAGGCTGAGCTGGGAGCACACTGACAGAGCAGTACCCTGCTCAAGGGACAGGGGCCAATGCTGGACAGACTGGGAACACATCCTGCTTGGGCCAGGCACCCCGAACCTAGCTGCAGTGAGCAGGTGGGGGGAAGAGCAATGGACTCAAAGCACCAGCCCGGTGCTGCCAGTAAAGCCCAGCAGCCCCTTTCCCTCCCCAGCCTCCCCTTTCCCACTGCCCCAGCCTCCACCTTGTCAATAAATAATACATTAAACCATATGGCCTTGGTATGGTTTGGCTGGGGAATTCCACACTGCTCCCAAAACCCCACCACCTTCCCCAGGGGCAGCAGAGTGCAAAGCCCACTCCCACAGGGCCTGGGGAACCCCCCCAATAGGGGACATGGTGGGAACACAGCTTCCAGGCCTAACCACAAAACCCTTTGAGCTGCTACACAAAAACGAGATCTCCTCTGTCTGAAGTTTAATGGTTCTGACAGAGTTTTACCAGGGGGAGCAGGGAAACAAAGAGAGGGAGTGAAAGGACATTATTCTAAACCAAGGTCAGCTAACAGCTTTCATCCCATAGAGATGCTCCTAAAATTGCAGGTTTCTGGCATAGCTTTACCTTGCTTGGCTTCGCTCAAGCCATCAGCCTCTTGAGTTGTTTCCAAAGGAGCATGCAGACACCACACTTGCTCCATCAAGGGATCATCTTTTGTTGCAAACTGTACAGCTCTGTTCTTCAGGTTATCCAGACAAAGGACCGACAGCTTCCCAAGGTGCCTGCAAGGTTTTATGTCTCTGAAGGACATTTCAAGCTCACCTCTGCTTAAGAGCAGCTGTTGGGTGGGATGAAAATGGCTAAGAGAAAGAGGGCAGGTGGGAGGTGGTGGTAACGTTCATCTTTATTAGGTAACAGATGCTCAGGAGCCCTGGAACAGGATTTTCAGACAGGAGATATGTTCCCTGGGGAACCTCCCCACCACCAGTTGCATCTTGTATCACAAAGCATCCCTACTCTGAACTCCATGAGGATAGACTTTCTTCACATAATCCATAAAACAATTTTCTCCCACCCACAAACAAAAAAGTTACAGTATATACACACACATGTAAAAAAAGTCGTAGGGACAGATGGGCAGCAAATTTATAAACAGTGTAGAAAAAACAGGGCAAAGATCCGTCACCCTGGAGGGGGCAGAAAAGTATGAGCCATGCTAGGACCCTCCGTGGATCATGCTATTTGCTACTGGGGTTTCAGCCCAGCAGTCTGCCAGTTCCCCAGCCAGTACTTCCTGCAGCCCAGCCCCCAGGGCTCAGACCACTGTTAGTGACCAAGTGGCACCTCAGCATCACTGCTTTCCCAAGGCCTTGCTTCCCATTTTACTAAAGCACAAAGCTTCCCACATGTTGCACGCAGACCCAGAGAAATGCAAAGTAACTCAGAGGTTGCCACAGGCAAGGAGTTTCTGTATTTCAGGGAAAAAAACATGACCAGGAAGACAGCGTGAGAGCCACTGAAGAGGACAAAAATCAGGAGGAGGCAATCCACCTCCCAGAATAGGATCACTGATAAGCCGTGGAAATTGGGAATGGGCAATCAAAATGTGTACAAACCCAAGAGCTCTTATGCATACCTAGGATACCTGCTCGAAGAGGAAGTTGCTGCCACCAGAGCATCCTCTACACTCAAAGACACTCTTGAGAGCAACCTCTTCCCCTCAAACAATGAGCTCCCCTCCAACCACCAACCCTGGGAAGCAAGGAACCCCCCTGCCTGCCAGCAGGACAAGAAGCCCAGGCTGCCGGCCATTGCAGCTGGGTGTCTACCAGCTATTCCCCACATAAAGTGGGGGAGGGAGGGAAACATCTTCTGGTCCCTGCACTTTTGTCTGCAGCTACAGATCACGATCACTGGGAACAGGCTTTGCTGGGAGACAGGTTTCTCCTGGCCCCAGTTTCCATCTTCGTGAAGCCAGGCAACTCCAGGACTAGCATTACCTGCGCTCAATTCCTGTAGCACATGAAGTGCTCCTCACAGATGCCAAAAGACCCTGTGCAAAGTGAGACCACAAGCCCCTATCTTTTTCCTCTCATTTTGAAGGAGCTCAAGCTCTCACACCCCTATGCAAAAGCTGGATACATTTAAAAAGCTTCTTACAAAACAGTACAAGTTCTGATTTTGCAGGAGTTAGGCAGTACAGGCCTGATTGGGACAGGATGGGTTTGGACTGCTGTATCTAAATGTTTCTAGCTGCTAACATGGAGAACACGCTGACCATAACACAGGGAGAAACAGCAATGCCCGCTTGTCAAAGGCTGGTTTTCACATTTGCACGTGTCAGAGGGCAACCGCTTTGCACTTCTTTGGAGAGATGCAACAGGAAAGGCAGAGAGAAAGAGGGCAAACCGTTCTCTCCCTGTCCCAAATCCACCTCCCCCTCTTGGAAAGTCACAGGCAATTCAACACCTGCAAGTCAAACTGCTCAGAATAGCAATGGTAACAAAGCTGGGAGACTTGCACCCTGAACCAGTGCTTCCCAGATTCTGCAGGAGCTGTTGAGCAGTTGGAAAAGGTAAGGAGAAACACCTGAAGACAAATTCTGGGACTGGGAGTTGAGTAAAATAAAAAACTGTTTCTAAAAATTGTTTCTGCATCAACAAAAAGGCACCAGAGAAGCATTCACCCTTCACGCCAATGCAGGGCACGGCCCGTCCACCTCTGCTGCCACCCAGCATCACATGACCAGGGATGCCAAGGCTTTATACCAGGCTTTGCTTGTTGTAGGCTGCTACAAACCCACCCCCTGCCAAAAACCGGAGGCAGCTATCACAGGAAAAGACGCATGAAGCAGAGAGGAAGGGAAATCTGCTGCATTGTTCCCTATGTTTTTGTAAAGCCATGAACACTCCTATAAAAAAACCTGTATAAAAACTGTAGAGAAATTTGCTGGGCAGTACTGGCCCCAAGCGATACTCCCAGAGCACCTAGGTAAGTTGGGTATAGGGGGCTTCAGTTTCCTGACACACAACTCTAGGGAAGTTGGTGCCTTCCCCTCTCTTTTGGGAACATCCTCAAGCCCCAGCAGCCCTGTGGGACAAGGCTTGAGCAGATCCTCTGCCCTCCCCAAAGACTTCTTTCTGCAGAGGTGTTTGGGAAGAGAATAAAATACCCCTGAGGACAGACACAGGATGTGCCACTTCTCTATGCCTTGGGCTTGTGAGCTTCTCCCCAAAGCAGGAATGGGAAATCAGTGTCAGGACAGAGCTTCCCAACAGCCCCAGGCAAGGTGACAAAAACCACAACTAGACAGATTCCTGCTGCAGTGCCTGAGAACAAGCAAGGAAGCTAATAAAGCTAAACCTGGGGCAAGTTTAGAAAAAAAATAAAACAAAACCAAAACCCTCCCTCCCCCTCCCACCCCATCACAATCCCACCAGCACAGCCCTAACCTAGCACTTTTTTTAAGCTCCAGAAGGGAAGTCCAGGCTGATGGTCAACCAAGCTGTCTTTGTACAAGGCGGCCCCAAGACAGCATTAGGAGGCAGCAATGGCCGTGCCCCCGCTCAGCTTGACAATCATCTGCTGGCAGTCATTGCAGGAGCGCTTGTCCCCCACTTTCTCCAGGGTGCGGGCGGCCTCAGCCAGCAGGACGGCTCGTTGGCCCGGGGAGGAGAGGAAGGAGAGGGGAAGATGGCGGCAGGCCAACAGGATGGCTGTGGCTCTCTCCCTTTGGCCTGGCAACGTGTCCAGTTCACCTATGTGCAAACAGGAGAGAGAAAGTTCACAACAGAGCTACCACCCGCATGACAAAACCCCACCATGCAGGCCCTCAGCTGGTACCAGTGAGCACAGGCATCTCTAGCTGGCAACCCCTGGCTGAGCCAAGAGTGAGGGCCACTCTGAGGACCCCCAGGGAGCTCCTTTAGGCTAGCAGAATAGAATAGTCTGAGCTGGAGTCAGGTAGGGGCTGTCAGTCATGTCTTCTACAGATAGTTCCTTTCACTTCACTTCCTAGGGCTCACCCCAGCATTGGTACACACATTTGCCCATTCCCCTTACACCCTCACAAGGGATTTAATAACCAGCACCATATCTTTTGGCTCTTCCCTTTAGGATTCCCAGCTTCTGCCTTTGCACTGCCTGCCCCAAACCCCAGACTGCCAAGTTTTGTGTATGTATAGCTGCACGAAGGCAAATGTTTTCCAGACTGTTCACTGACACCTCCAGCCCAGGGCTGGCAGCTCACATTAGTCGGCTTGTAGAGAGCATGGCAGGAGCATCGCCCTGAGCCACAGGCTGATGGGAGCTCATTATCCTGCAGACACTGCAGCTTGCACCTATGCCCCCACACCTTGCCCAAGTGCTGCCCCCTCCCCGCCCCACAGGCAGTGGGTCGGTGCCCAGGCCCCAGGGCTGACCTTGCTTGCTGCTCTGGGGCGTGCGTCGCCTCAGGCTGTGCTCCAGCAGTTGGTGGGTGCGGGTAGGGCTGGCACCTGCCATCAGGCGCACGGTGGCCTCGTGGAGAAAGACCTGGAAGGGAAGGCAGGATGGAGGATGAGAGGTAGGGACAACGCTGTGGCTGAACATGTGTCATTCCTCAGCCACTGCATTTCGAGAGCAGAGCCCTGACACCTTGACAACAACAGAGACCCACTTCCACACTCCTCCCTCATGTTTCCACCTGTCTCTGGGGAATTTGCAGGTCAAGGAAACCACGAGGAGGGGAGGAAAAAAAAAAAAAAAAAAAAAATATCTGACACCTAACTGTGAGTGGCCTGGAAAGGGGGAGGATCAAGAATAGGGAACAGGATGGAAAAATGGAAGAGCAAACCCTGGCACTATGGTCCCAGGGAGGGGGTCTCACCCCAGGTTGCTAGTGCAGCACTTTGATAACAGCATCAAAC